AGGGCTAAAAACTCGGATTAAAGATCGAGTGTTATTTAGCTATCGCCACCTAAACGGAAGTTGAAGATCTCCTCGGTGGTAATAAAACAATCAAAAGACAAACGAAAACCGACGTCGAATAAAGAACCTATGAAATTTTAACGAACTTTAGGAGGCCCGGCCTATTAAAATTATATCATTAAAAATAAAGTCAAAACTAGCCGACGGAGTCTAAATGAAAGTTGTAGAGCATAATCTCACCTACGCGTGGATATAAAGAACGCGAAAAACGGAGCTCGTACGCGAAAGTTACGGAATTTAGAAGTGGAAGCAGGGATTACGCCCCGCGTACTAGACCCAGAGTCGGGTCTCATCAACCCGCCCAAGCTATGCTCGGCTAGACCCAGTAGTCCCATCGACCTGCCCAAGCTACACTGGCTAGGCCCGAGTCGTAAGCCATGACGCCAGTTTACGCCCCGCGTACTCCTGAAGTACGCGCCGCGTACGGGGTTTTCCAGCCCTATAAATGGAAGGCATAAGCTTGAGTTTAGGCACACCTTCACCATTTCTCAGCCATTCTCCCAGCTCCAGAGACCCTTTTCTCACCTCGGTTTCCGCACTCGAGCCCCCGACGAAAGATTTACGTTGCAGAGATCCCCGAAGAGCCCGACGACGCAACTATCCGCGATCGAAACTCTGCTCAACTCTAGCCCCTCTCTTCAAACTTAACGAGTGAGTTCATACCCCTACTTTTCAATTCTTTTTCATGTTTTAGGGGGGAAATACAAGTACATTACACGTTAAAAGTATCGTTTTATAAACATAAATGCAATTTCTAACTTCGAATATCGATACAAACATCTTATGTATACAAGGGCGATTATATCACTAAGTTATTTCTACGAAATGGAACATACTATCTGAAAAACTATAATGGGTATAGTTAGCAAGTCAATCCTACATTTTATACAATTTGAAAAACGAAACACTTTCAAAAGAAGTAAGGTTATTTCATTGTAAATCTATTTATACTAGTCAATGTGAGACATTTAAACTTCAACGTACATTTTTGTATGCATTTCAAGTCCTGTATTATATACCATAATCTCTTGGAGGGAGAGCGTGATACTTGTGTATAGATCTATACGGGATTGACAATCCCGCACCTAAACTACTAGCTATAGTTAGACCGGCAGGTCTGGGGTGACAAATGTCATAACACTGCAACACTTGAAGAATGTTGTTACAGGCCGTCAGTGTCAATAGTATGGTTATAAAACTCACATAAAAAGTATAAAACAAGATTGATTTACGAGATTCATATGTGCATCGCAGTTTTCCTACATTATATTTCATACTAAATTATTGTCATCATTTGTTTATAAAAGTTACTAATACATTTCCAGCTTTGGAACCTTTTTCATTTTACAAGAAAATATTGGATTTTCTAAAAACCTCGTTTACCAATTTACTACCAAAAGGAATATACTTTTCAACTCGGAGCACTCATGAACTCACCAACTAAATTGTTGACACTTTTCAAAACCACTTGTATTTCTCAGGGAATCAGTGATACAGGTAAACTACCAGCTTTTGGAAGAAGGAACACAAAGGATGATTTTATCATTAAAACATTTATTCATCATATTGTAATATTCTTTTGATAACATGTATAACGCAACAATACACGTTTTCATTTTTATATATATGATGGTTGTGTTACTTTCTTTACAATATTCAATCGTTGTGATACTACGTGAAGTCATCCACCCCCGAATGTTTCCGCCATTCTGGTTTGGGGGTGTGACAGGCCATTTGTATCTTCCTCGCTTATGCTTCTTATATGAACTTCACCGTATATCAAATGGACGTCAAGACGGCTTTCTTGTAACACAAGGTGAAGGAGGAGATTTATGTTGACCAACCTCCTGGGTTTGTTAACTCAAAACTTCCTAACGAAGTCTACAAGTTAGACAAGGATCTGTATGGGCTGCATCAAGCTCCCAGAGCCTGGTATGCTACCCTTACACAACACTTGCTCAACCATGGCTATTCTTGCGAAACTATCGATCAGACTCTATTCATCAAGCATGTCGGTGCAGACCAGATTCATTTTTCAAATATACATGAACGATATGATTTTCGGGTCGACTAGTCCTAAGCTGTGTAAGGAGTTTGAGGACGTCATGAAAAAGAGGTTCAAGAAGAGTTCATTGGGGGGAAATCACCATGTTTTGGGGGCATCAAGTCAAACAATGTTCAGCCGGAATCCTAATTCATCAAGCCAAATATGTGGAAAATATGCTCAAGAAGTTCAGGTTCAGAGACGCTAAACCTGCTTTAACGCCCATGGCGGAGATACCACTACTGACTCCTGATTTTGAAGGCGAATCAGTAGATCAAATGTTCTACATATCGATGATTGGATCGCTGATGTATCTGACTACAGGTCGCCAAGACATCATGTTTGCGGTCTTTCAATGCGCACGCTACCAGGCTAATCCTAAACTGTCTCATCTTATTGTTGTTAAAAGAATTTTTCGGTATCTCAAAGGCAGCCCAAAACTGGGTCTTTGGTATCCGAAAAATACCAAATTTGATATTTATGATTTTGTAAATAGCAACTATGGTGGTTGCGAGCTTAACAGGAAATCGACTTCAGGCGGATGTTAGTTTCTCGGAGATAGGTTGGTGTCTTGGCAATGCAAGAAGCAGCATATTGTCTCAACCTCAACAGCAGAAGCAGATTATGTAGCTGCGTCAGCCTACTGTTCTCAAGTCATATGGATCCAACATCAGCTGTTGGATTACGGTTTGAATTTTCAAGAAACCCCTATATTATGTGATAATGAGGTTGTGATCCAAATTGCTAAAAATCCAGTCCAACATTCAAAAACCAAGCATATCGACATCAAAATTCATTTTATCAGAGATTGTTATGAGCACTCGCTCATTCAGCTAGAACAAGTTCCCACTTCTAATAATGTGGCGGATTTGTTCACAAAGCCGTTTAACAAAGCTTGATTCGATCTGCAGGTAAACTATTTAAAAATGATTCTCTTTGAGGATTAATTTTTGTTTAGGTTAGTTTAAATTTGCGCATTTTTATTTCATTCTCTTCCATGCACAAATTTAGGGGGAGAAATAATCAAAAACCAAACAAAAATATAGAAAATTAAAAAAATCCAAAAACAATAGAAAATCAGAAAATTCAAAAGCATTAGAAAAATAAAAAAATCAAAAATATTTCTGAGAAGTGATGTAATGGGAAGTGATATCAACAAGTGATAACAGGCAATCTAAATCTGTGTAAGGTACCAAAGTTGAATTGTCTAGGCTCTGTGTTCGATGCGCTGGTAGGCACGAAAAATTTAATGGTCTTGACTAGGTGCAGATGAACTTAAGGAATCTAGAGACTTGATCAAATCTTGACCTAGATAGTTCCATTTAGCCTGACAATATGACGCTTGGGTAGGTTGAGTAGGGAGATATACATGAGAATCCACCAGTCACATTAAAGAAACTCGTATCTAGAACTATGGACTAGCTTTTCCTCGATGTATGGATTCTGTCCTTAATTCTGGTATTGATGGAGCGACTGGGGAATTTCGATAAAGTGGGTATGTAGAAAATTATTTTCTTTGTCTCTCACTGTTAGTCATATGTTGCATCCTCTGTGTGATAAAAAAATCCGACCTAGACTGCATCATATGCAAATCTATCTCTCTGCATTATATATATATATATATATATATATATATATATATATATATATATATATATATATATATATATATATATATATATGAAATTCTTCCTATCTGTTAGCCATATGTTGTCTCCTTTGTGTGATTAACAATCTGACCTGGTACACAACATATGCAACCTTCTACTTCTCAATCCTTCTAAAACTCTAGTTAGTCATAATCTAAATCTATCCTCTCTCATAATAATTGTCTACTCACCTAAAGTAAGGAGTATCTCAAAAGTTCATGATTATTGGGGTATGTCAGGAAGCGGGAAACATGTTCTAGTACATCTATAATTGAACAATTCTAGATTATCTGTAGATCTCGCTACTAAATTTAGGTGGATAACAATATCATTTGTCGTCGTCAGATAAATGGTCCTAGGAATTTTTATCTAGTAACTTAGGATCAATTTGACAGGTCACTGATAGCATTCCTAAAATTTGTCACAATTTTTCGTGCTTAACTGGACCACAATACCGGCGATCGACCAGATCTATTCATGAAAGGAGAGGTATTGACAAATGGAGAATGATTGTCTAACAACTTTGATCCCACATCTCAAAAGGCTATTAATTTCATGTAAAGGCGAAATTTAGGTTAAATTCAAATTTTAGTATCATTCTATCGTTTATTTTATTTTACTTTTATTTATATTTATATTTATATTTTATTTTATTTTACTTTGTACTTAATCCTCAAAAGTTTTATTTTGAATACTTTTGAGTATTGGGCCCTTATTCTTAAATGGAGAATTGCAGCCCAATTTCTAAGGAGAGTATAAAAGGAGAGTGTGCGGTCAATGAAATCACTTTTCCATCCTCCTGAGTTCAACCGCACACAACTCCTGCTCCTTTCTCTCTCTCTCTCTCTCTCTCTCTCTGTAAAATCTTTAAAACCCATCATCTTTCATGAAATTGAAGCCCCATAATCGTAAGAACTGTAAAAAACAACTCCCATAATGTGGTTTTTGAGCAAAATCGATCTTGAACTGGTGGTCAATTGAAGGTTATAGATTCCGACTGTGCGTATGAGGCCACACAGGCCGTGTGCAGCTAGATCATGTGCGGTTGCACACCCCGTGTGCGACTGAATCCGTGTGCGGTTGCATACTCCTTGTGTGCAGCTAGTCTCGTGTACGGCTAACACTGTACAGTTGGAACCCTTGAATGGTTGTACACCGTGTGCGCCTACACACATTGTGTATGACTGGATATAGGTGTATGACTGGGCACTTAAAATTGAAAATCTCTTAATTTTTCTAATGCTCTTATGCATACTTGTGTTTTTCAGATCATCATGGGACATCTTGACTTTGCAATGGTGCACAATCTAGCCATTTTTTCTAGAAGATCCTCAAGCTGTCCACAATGATCTCGAATTCATTGTTGATGTTCTAAGAAAATGCTGCTTGGTTTTTTCTTTCACCATTGGTCCAGTGATTTATCAACGATTGATCAAAGAATTTTGGAGAAGCACAATTGTTAAAAGAGATGACAATGATGAGAAATATCTTGAGGCCACTGTTCAAAGAAAGAAAATCCTAATCACAGAACATGTCATTCGAGAATCACTGCAAATTAATGATAGGCCTGAGTTTACCATGGAAATTGATTTGGAGAAAACCCAAGAAGTTCTAGATTAATGATAGGCTTGAGTTGTTAACTCCTTGTTGGAAGTATCTAGCTCATGTGTTTGTGAGCTGTGTTTCCGGAAGGAGACCAGTACCTAATGAGATCTCCCTCTTCAACACTGGAGCCATTGCAACTTTAGCCTCAGGAATTGAGTTCAACTTTTCAAAATTTATCCTACATGAATTGATTCTCAACATTGAGGCAAATAAGAGGGACAGGTTCTTAATGTACCCTAGGTTTCTGCAATCATCTTTAATGTTATGCATCTCGAGATTGAGAGAGGAAACAAAACCTTGGATCTCAAGTCTGTTGGTCCCAATGCCTTTGGTTTAATGAAACAGAATCGAGCTGGAAAATTTGTCTTTGAAGGGAAATTCCCCTAGATAAAATTTGGAATCTTTGCTAACGATAGTGACCAATCAGGATCTGAAAGTGTCTCTAAGCCCACAGTAACCGAGGATGTCGTGATCTTGGTTTCAGAGCCTGGGAATGAACAAGGTCATGTTTCTTCAGTAGCAACTATGGTTGATGAACATGACCAACTACATAATGTGGAGATTGAGGGATAGCTTGATCAAGAGGGAGGTGATGAGGATTTAAATGAAGATGATGATTTCTTAAAAGATTTGGATTTTACTGGTATCAACAACGACGACATTCCTTCGAATTTTGACCTTGATCTAGATGATGATGAATTTGGTCCATTACCAGGATTCGATGATAGGCACTTTAGAAAGGTCAATGAAGTTGCTCAACCAGCAACTAAGACTGGGGATGATGTTAATGCTCTCAAGATTCTGTTTTCTTCTTCAAAACCAATGGAATATTCTTCAAGACTAAGAGATGTGGTTTCAGGGATTCCTCCCCTTGATACTAATGTCTCTACTTCTATTCCATCTCTGAGTGAACCGACATAACCACAAACCACTCTGCCTTCTACGAGGCAGGGAGTGTTCATTCAAAGCCAAGCACCACCGGTCTCATCAATTGTCACCACCACAACTGTTTCTACACCACTACTTCGAACTGAAGAAGGTCCAAGCACAGTATATGAAGCAGGCGGATCATCTTTTATTCCAAAATATTCTCCCTCAAGGCTGTCGCTAGATGAAGCTTCGGTCAGGCTAGCTAAGCATTTGGCTCAGAACATTTCAGATTCTCGTTCCTGAGGAAAAGACATATCTTGTGAGGAAGAACATTTAGGGGATGATAAGATCTTACTGTCTAAGCTTTGAGAAAAGATTGGAATTATGAGAGAAGTAGTCATTGTAAAGAACATTTTTCTTGAGCAACATGATTCCTACATCACTGAGCTTTGGGAAAGAGATGAACTAAAGTCAAAGCAGATTTCTGATCTACAAACTGATCTGGGCTCTTTAACTGCATTCTATTTTGGATTAAAGAACAATTGTTTGAAGCTTTTGGCGATAAGTTTCAGTCTCCTTTTCAACAACCTCATGGAATTGAAGATCCCCCCATGGCTCCCACCCAGTCTTCAGAAGGCGAACATCCAGGTAATCAACCTCCTCCAAGGACAACTATCATTGTTGATCATTTTGATAAAGAACCTTACAATGCTACATCTCGAATCACGATCAAGCATGGAAAAAGGACTGTCATTTCCAATAAAAGCGAAGGATTAATGTTTATGAAGAACTCAAACGAAAATCACCAAGCGAAAGATCCTGTATTGATAGTGACTAAGCTTAAAAAGAGAAAGTTTGGTGATCGCTCTGGGATCAAGATGTGGGCCTTTGACCATGAAGTGAACATGTGGGTCGTAAAGAGAAACTCTAGAGTTCTTGAGTACTACCAGAGCATTCATGACTTCAACTCATGGACAAAAGTTGATCTTGCCAAACTTTCAAGGGCCCCATTTCACAACCCTTCGCAGGATCCCTGTGCGTACAACTTCAAATGATTTATAGATAGGCAGGTCAAGGAGAACTTCTCAAAGATGAAAACTGCAAAAGCCTTGTACCAAAAAGATGCGGATTCTCTCGATCTTGAATCTGGTGAGCCAATGAAGATCATACTGTGGCCAGTAACAAAACAACTGAAAGAAATTCCTATCCCTCAGCACTTTCATAAAGGATATCTTGACAACATGGAATTTTAGGCATATGATGATGAAACTACCACTGCTACCATTAAGTTCAAGAATAAAGAAACAATACTCAGACAGCTGCCAAGGAATTCATTAGGATGGTCGCCACTATCATCAATGGAAAATTATGGATAGGATCCATGGGAAAATCCGACCTGAAGCTGTACGAAAAACCTGGAGAATGAAGACCAAGTCATTACTACCCACAAACCAATGGGGAGATTGATAGGCTATATTTTTGTGGTTTGGGCTAGGCATTCTAATGTATAGGTCTTGGTAGGATGTTTAGAGTGTGTTGTGGTGGTCATACCATGTTAGTGGGTGTGTGCGGCCATACATGTGTGTGTGGATACACACTTGTGTGCTGCTAATGGTGGTATAAATAGGCTATGTCAGTGTGTCGGAAAAAGTGATGTATGTATGTGTAATTTTCAAGGTGTACTTGACATTTATACGTTATAGATGTGTGCATGCTTGAATTATTCTTCTTCTACTCCTTCTACACTCGGTTTGATTGTTTGCAATTCATTGATTACTGATTTGGATCTAAGGATTGGGGCTTACAAACATTGTTTTTTTTTTCTTGTGAAGGTGGGAATCCAACTATTTTTAGTATATGCTTGCACTATGGAGGAGAGTTTACCAAATTTCCTAGGAGAAAATACATCAAGGGACAACACAAATTTGTGGACTTGATCGATAATGATTTGTTCTCTGTTCACGACATTGATGATATGATGGGGGATTTGGGTTGCATTGAAGAAGGTAAAGTTATGTATTATTGCTTTAAGCAGCTATTAGGGGATTTAGATTTTGTGTTGTTTGCATTGCATAGTGATCAAGATGCCAACCACTTAAGGTCCTATGTTGCTTCACACAAGCTTATAGAAGTGTATACATAATTTTGATGTACCAACTTGCATACACTTGCTCTGTCTCCTAACCCTTTAAAACTCAGGATTCAAGAGATTGTTGAACCCCCTTCTTATTCTAGAAGTTTGTGTCTCGAGTGGATTGACACAACCACACCTGAACCCCCTGTTTTACAACCAAGCATGCAAACCCCTACAATGGAACCTAACATGAAATCCCCTAGTCATATTGATGTTGCACATGTTTCACTCCTAGAATGGAATCCCCTATTAAAGTTGAATCTGTGAAAGAACCAAACATGGAACCCCCTATTATGGAACCCTTTAGTGAAACCCTAGGTGGATCTAGTGATAGTGAGGGTAGTGGGGATTCAAGTGATAGTAATGATAGTGATTTCATCGTGGATGAGGATAACTTGTTGTATGATCCTGAGGTGGACATGCATGATTTCTACCTCATCATTGATGAGAATTTGGAGTGGGTTGGTGATGCCCCTATTACAACAAAGAATATATAATGTCTGATAAGGAGATGGAGGTGATCAACACTGATGTTCTACAATCTGAGTCATCATCTGATGAAGGACAAATAAGTAAAAGAAGAAATAAAATTTGGGTTGCTGAAAGGTCACAAATAAATCATGCAGCTCAAGTGAGTGGCCCTTTCTACATACTTCAAACAATCTCAAGTTCTCAGGAAGAATAATATAGAATTTACTTGCATGCAATAGAGACAAGAAGTGAATTGGCTATTATCAAGAATGATAGACTGGGTTCAGGGCAGTATGTAAAGGAACATTACCATATATGGGGATACATGAGACTTTTGGGAAAGGTGGACCAAGTAAAACTAGTAGGAAAGGTGGGCGAAGTCAAAGGAACATAAATGGTGGACCCAGTCAAATGGGTGAAAAAGGAGGACCAAGTAAAAAAGAAAAGTGTAGTGAAAGTAGATGAAAGCAATAATTGCCCTTGGAAACATTTAGTAAGTAAATGGAAAAAGGATGATGATTGGAGTGTGAAAACGTATGAAAAGGAGCATAAATGTCTCTAAACAAGAAAAATCAAAGCTTGTAATTTCAAGTTTCTTTCCAAACAAATTCTTGAGCAGTTGGAGTCTAACCCAGAAATACCAATCAGGGCTTTAAAGGAGTAGCTAGAGAGGAAATACGAAATTCAGATGTCGGACATGAAAGTGTTTAGGGTAAAAGAAAAAGCCCTAGAAACTATTAGCAGTGATTTTGGGGGTTAATATTCTATATTGAGGGACTATCTACTAGAGGTTCAAAGTCGAAACCCAAACACAACAGTCAAGCTTCAAGTGGATAATTCTTCCAACCCTACATCAGATACTAGGATTTTTAGAAGCGTGTATGTGTATGTATATGTGTGTGTGTGTTGGGCCACTGAAACAAGGATTTGCAGCAGGGAAAAGGGACTTTCTTGGACTGTATGGTGCATTCATGAAGGGTCCCTACCATGTTATAGTTCTAACTGTAGTGGTAAGTAATTTAATACATGGATTAACTACTTAATCTTACATATGACTAATAGATGTTAACCTAATTTTTTCTTACTAATATAAGGACTAGATGGAAACAATTGCACTTACCTAGTACCATATGGTGTTGTAAAGTCTGAGAAATACAACTCATGGACATGGTTTCTAAAAAATATTGGTGATGATTTGGATTTGACTACTAATTCAAACTTCGCATTTATGAATGATAGGCAGAAGGTAATAGTATACACAGTTTAACTACTTAACCTTTATATTATTTGTAAAATTATATAAAACTGATTTTGTTTATGTTGTAGGGTGTTTTTCCTGCAATTGCAAAATTGTTTGTATGTGCAGAAAATAGATTTTACCTTCGTCATATCCACGAGAATATGAAGCGAAAGTGGAGGGGCAAGGAGTTTAAAGATTATCTGTCACACCCCAAAACCGAGAATGGTGGAATACGTTCTGGGGTGGAGGACGTCATGTACAATATCATAACAATGCATAACAGTAAGAACAAGCAACAACATCCATTGGATTAATATAATATTTGTAATACAAGCGTGTTCTGTACAATTTGATAGACACCAAAAGTATAAACAAAATAAAAGATGGGTCTTATATGTGCTCCATCTTCCCAAAAGTTGCATCAGTACCTTTTTATTGTTGACCTGAGAATACAAGTTATTGTGAAAATGAGTATCAGCATAAAGTTGGTGAGTTCATAAGTAGTTAGTGTCATTGCTTGTATAAAGGTGTTTACAAATCGCATAGTATAATGGTTGTTAACAAAGTTTGAAGATAGTTTGATCCCTAGAAAATCCCATATTTTCCAACAAAAGTAGTCTTCTACCAAGACTAGGTTATTTTTAAGTTTGATTCATTGAAAATGTATTAGTTTTTCTCGTGAAAACATCAGTAATGAAAATATAGTTTTAAGCTCGTTCATATAAAGAAAGAATAGAGTATTACCCTAGCAACGTCACTGCCGGTGAAATGTAGTAGTGAGTGTAAACTCCGGATAGTATTAAATGTGTATACACCTCAGGAAGTCTGTTTTACCCTTAATTATTAGTGTGTTTAATTAAGATTTGAATGTGAGCTCGTATGTTACCATACTGAGTGATAGTGGTATAATGGTTGACCCTCCATGTCACAACTAGTGTAGTAGTGTTTTGTCATCCCTGGGCTTAGTAGGCTCGGATTGTAGCTAGCAGTCGGGATAGGTGAAAAATTAGTCCTGTATAGATCTATACACGTAGTGATCGCTCAACCTCCAGGAGGCGCTAGTTACCCGACGATCTCATAGCGATGGGTCGTATAGAGAAATAGTGCATCACATTCTATTTTAGTATTTCCTCTCGTATAGTATAGAGTATTCTTTTAGTGTACTATGTAGTGTTCTCTTGATGTAGTTTATAGTGTCTCTTTTTATAGTGTATAGTGTTTCCTTAGTATAGTGTACAGTGTTCTCTTCGCATAGTATATAACACGTATAGCCTTGTAGTTATACTGACCATAGTGCGCATCATAGTAACAGTAGTAATGAGTGGTAATCCTTAACTACACCTATTATAGTTAAATAGAGTTGTTTAGTTGAATGCCTTTGATACGTAAAGATATTGCACGGTAGTGAAGGCTTTTATATCCAACACAAAAATATACGATATATAACTAAGAATTCAACGACAGTAGGACAGATAACCTAATACCCTAAGTCCACAATCAAACAAGAACAGGAAATAAGGTCAGTTATCAGTTCCAAGTCCTTCAATCATTACTTATATAAATATATTGATGTAGATATGATATGGAAAATAAAATAAGTTTTGAAAATTTAGAGTAGTTTTTAGAAAAATCGAACATGAAAATGAGTTTGATAATTATTTGAAACAACTTTACTGTGAAGGTAAATTCAAAATGTAGAAAATTCTTTTGACAACATGTTATAAATCACATATGATTAGTACTATAACTTGCTTGATTCAACTTGTATCCCACCCCCCACAAAAACATTTAAAAGCGTTTGAAAGGTTAATTTAGGGGTATGAACTCACTCTTTAACGTAGGGTCCAAGTGTGCGATTGATATGAGTGCTGAGTGTCAACGGATGCTCTGAACGCAAGTGGTCCCTATTAATCATATAGTGACACATATATGAGTTACAGCTAGGGTGTTTCATGAGTAAACATGATGGGTAATCACCCTAAGGGCTTGAAATCACCATGACTAAGTGTCCCGTGTCCCATACTTAATGATCTATGTAAGTTTAAGGCGAAATATGAGTATTGGAATGGGTGCATGACCATAAAAGTGAGTGTGCATCTAGGGAATGCGGCTAGAGTTGTGTGTGAAGCTGCACACTGGAGTGTGCGATCGTGCAGGGTGTGTGTGCGGTTGTACATAGGGGTGTGTGGTTGTACACTCCTTGTTTGAGTCCTATGTGTTGATTTTTAGGGGTTTCAAGTGTCAAACTAAGTCTTAGATCGATTATAGAGGGCATACCCTCACTTTGGAGGATGTTTTGAGTGTGTGCAGCCACCTGATGAAGGTGTGCAGCCGCACTCCTTCAAGGGGTGAAGAACACGAAGAACATTATGTGTTTTAGGCTTGGATTCAAGTGTTTTACCTCTATAACAAGGTGAAAGATGAAGTTCTTCACGTTTTGGAGGTAGGGATGTCAACGGGGACAAAAGGGGTGGGGAGTGCATCTCTCGCCCCCACCCCTGAAATTTCCCTATTCCCCCGCCGCCGCCCCCGGAATGTTCAATGTTCCTACCCCCGCCCGCCCCCCGAATCCCATTTTAGTACCCCGCCCCCGCCACTGTTCCCCCCGCCCCCGATTGATTTTGGGCTACTTTTTTTTGGGGCTAAAAGAAGTTGATATTTAGGCTAAAATAAGCTATTTTTTAGGTAGCAAATAATTATTTATAGCACAATTTTATATGTTAAAAATAAAAAAGTTATGGCATTTTAAAAAATTATACTAACAACTTAAAAACATGTTTTTTGATGAATTTTGGAAGCTCAAAATCATGTTATTGTTTATTATATTTATATAATTAATATATGTAAACATATGTGTAATTTATTAATGGGGTCGCCATGGGGATTTCCGGACGGGATTGCCTACCCCCGCCCCCGCCCCCCAAATTAAAACGGGGGTTAACCTTGCCCCCGCCACTGTCCCCGCCCTGACTTTTTTAAAAAAAATCCTCCAAACAGGACGGGGCCCCCATGGGAACGGGGTCCCACGGGACTTTTTGACATCCTTATTTGGAGGCCTTCTAAGTGTTCTTGGATGATGTTTCTAGAGAGATAAAGTAGAGAAGGAGAGGATGTGCAGCCAAAAGTGAATGGAAGGGGGTCCTCTACTATATATTGGGTCGGGTGTGAGGCTGGAGGGGGTTTGTGGTTGGGTGTGCGGCTGGGTAGCCGCACACTCTAGTGTGCGGCACTTGTTGTGTATGGCTTGATTTTGTGATGCAACACCCTTCCTAACCCTTCTTAAGGCCCATATCTATGATATACTAAGCCGAAAGCACTCGTGTGGACCCAACATTCTGCTAAAACATGCTAAATTCAAGTGAATTATAGATATATGGATAAATTGTATAGTGTAAAAGTGTCGGGTTATCACATTGTCTCTAGAAATGTGCAACAACATCAAGTGTACAACAATTTAATCTTGCAATGGAGGAGATGAAGAAATTTAACAATGATGCATATGAATAACTTAAAGCCATTTCACCCAAACATTGGTCCAGGTCTCACTTCACAGGTT